TAAACTATCTGGAAAAATACAATTAGTTAGACACAAAATTATTTGAGTGAGTTAACCTGAAATCACTTCAAAGTCATCAAATTCAACATGCATTTCATATTTAATTGTATCTTTGATATTTAATTGTATCTTTGATATTTAATTGTATCTTTGATATTTAATTGTATCTTTGATATAAAATAAAATCCCGCTCCCGTCTTGACAAAATCGATCCTTTCTTTCACGAACATAATCGTCAACATGCAGGCCATCTAATATTAATTCATGTAGAAAAGTTTCGGTAAAACCCATAATACTGATATTATTTTCTGGTTGAAATATGACTTTACGCATTTCATCAAGTTTGTTTTCCTTTTTAGTAATCAATCGATTGACATTTATATTCCCATTGTTGTAATCAGATTTACCCTCACCTTATTTAAAAGGTTGGTTATAGATGAAGTAGGAGGTGCAAATACATCGGAAAGGTCTTTCAGGGACAAACCTGTTGGAATGTGAGAATCTGAGACTGAAAAGAAAAGGGCAACGTTTGAAATAGTTTCATATTCAAGACAAACATCTCCTGCTCTGTCCAGTCTATCTTGCTCAGCATGACTCGGTTTACAACCATCATTAAGTTTTAAATCAGATGATAGCTGTAAACCAGCAAGTATTGTTTGAATTAAGGTCATTTGAGGACATGCTGAACGAAGTGGGTGAACGACAGAAATTAGACCTAATTTTGGTGCGAGAAACAAAAGGACTGAAAAGGGAATTCGCTGGATTTACAGTATTTGAAACACCTAACCAATATTCTTCCATATTATGTATGAAAGATTGATACACTTCTTTCTCATATTCAACAGTTACCGGTAGCAGTATTGATAATGAGTTGTGGTCGGTGAGGTCTTTGCCATGCCCCTAGTATTCATTTTAGCGGTAAGAACTATAGGTGTTTCTGGGTTGATTCCTGTATCTACAGTAAGATGATTTATGTCCAGTCTGACCACAAATATAGCAGACAACTTTACTAAGTATCCTACAAGATGACACATTATATCCTGAGATATCACAATTGAAACAGGCATTACGGCGTACACTTTGCTTGATGATATTCACCTGTTTGTGATACAGTTGGACTAACTGACTTGTACCTGTATCTGATAGGTGAATGCCGTCTCGCCAAATGTTTTTGTTCTTTTGTTTATAATGTCGAATGTCTGAATCAATTTAGCACCACTCTCTACACATACCTCCTTCAGCATATCATTGTTTTAAGGATATCAGCGTTTAATCCACCTTTACAGACACGGTTAGTGATAAATTACTCCCTTGTAGCAAATTCTTTGAAAATCGGCTCTTGCAAAACAGCACAATGCTTAGGATTATTCAGTTTATGCTCAGCTTATGAAATATAATCATCTCGATTCAAAATGACACATCATTAACCTTTATCACTCTTTTTGAAAACAATGGTATCGTCTGTCTTGAGTAGGTTCAAAGCCTCACGCTCCACAATTTTTCGACTTTTCCGAATATTCTTCTTCCCTAGAGCTTCTTTAACAAACA